TTAAGTTAAATGATGATTAAAACTTAAAATTTAGCAGGATTTTATTTATTTTTAGTACCGTACCGGTACATATAATATGTTTTTGGGTACAAAGTATAAGTTAAAAATCTGTTTTGGATTTTTGAAATGTACATTAAGATAAGTTTACATTAAGTAAAATAATTACCTACACCTATAAATTAATCTTTAAGCTACCTACAGTACTAGCCGCTTTGGCCGAGCTTATGGGTTTTTTGCAATTTTCATGTTACTGTAACTTAGCTTAAAAGTGAATCTCAAAGATGAAATTCATACAGCAGTATAACAACCATAAGAGGGGTTTTTGGTAAAAATTTCAGATGTTTAAACTTTGTCCCAAGAAATATATTGAGACTAAAAATTTTAATTTTTAACAAAATTTTCAGTTTTTGAAAAATGATAACTTTAAAAGGAATTAAGTCTCGTGGTTGATATTTGAAATACAAACAGTTCTACTGTGTTGCTACACACAAATAAAAAATCAAGTCTGAGATTTTATTTGTTCCAACGGTAATACGCCTTCAAAAGTTGAAATTTTTCTGTTTTCTTATGAAATGTTTAACTGTTTAAAACTGTTTTTGATACACATTTCAATAAATATGTACTGAACATAATTTCTAGGCTGTTTCTTCCAGATTAATATGCTTTTTGTTTCATCACTCTAGTGTTCATGGTTACCGAGTTGTGCAAGTTAACGCAAACCCTTACATTTTGAGCAAAAATTTGCGTGTTCCGCAAAACAAAAATGGCCGCCGTAGAAGTAACGAAAGAGAAAAAAAAATAATATCACTTTTGAACCCAGAATTGATATATGTGTCTAGGATAAAAATGTTATTTATTTTAAAAATGGTCAAGCAACCAATTACTTTATTTCTGGATCACTTGATATGGATTGACCCGTTTGCCTATTTAGTAGTAGAGACAACCTTATTGGCTAGTTTAACTCTAGGGATGATTCTCATCCATATTTGGTTTGGTCGACCACCACTGCGAGCGCTAGTGGCCTTGCCATTTTGATAGTCCTCATTGGCTAGTTTTCCATCAAGAGACGATGTTCGGCCAATCACGTGTTATGTTATAGCGACGTGGATACTTGGTTTGGTTGATCACCACTGCGAGCGCTAGTGTCCTTGGAATTTTAATAGACACAATCTCATTGGCTCACCTACTGCCCTGTGACGACGATTAAACAATCACGTGCTATGTTTTTTTTTTAGCGACATTAAAACTTTGATTGTTGTTGAACGCCGCACCGAGTGCTAGTGTCTTAGTATCTACTAACTTATTAGAACCTTTCTCGTTGGCTGGTTTTAGATCGGAGGACGACGATAAACCAATCAGGGTTAGTGTTTGAGAGATGCAGTAGCCCAGCCCTGTTATATGCACGATCGCGGTGTTGCAGTTACAGGGTTGTCGTATGATCCATCCGTATGTTGACTGTTGAGGTTATGTTATTGTTTTTTCACATTGGTTCTAATTGAATTTCTTTTGATTTTAGTTAATGAATGATATAGTATTTGGTTTAATATGAGTAAGCATAAAAGTAATGTGTGGGCCTTTTTTAATATTATTAGTGAAAGTAGTGATGTGGCAAAATGTAAACTGTTCAAAAAAGACATTTCTCGTGGGGGTAAGTCTTGTACGACTTCTAACCTCATTAAACATCTGAAACTTCACCATCAACGTTAATTTTTTCAGAGGAAATTGAACAAACCAAAAATTGGAGAAGAAAATATAGGCTTAGGCCAAGATGAAAGTGTAGATGATCCCAACAAATTACAATTCGTTGTGCTTTTTGTTGTGTTTCAAATAGGGTCTGTTTAAATTATACATTTAACACATTAATATGGATACAAAAATGTGTATGTATAAACAAAGATATTCTGCTTATTTATCGTTGACAATAAATGTGTTAATATTAAAATTAATGTTTTATTTGATTCCAGCTGTTATTTTGATAGGTAACGGAAGTATCGGTATCGATAGGTATCGAGAGTACTTTGGTGGTATCGGTATCGACAATTTTTGGTATCGGCCTATATCTAGTAATACTAATAATTTATAAATTTACTAAATAATTTACTAATAATTTATACTGTTACAACTTATCAAGATTTATTACCTAAACTAGCAGAGTACCTGTCCTTTCTACGGGGTTGTCGTATAAGTATAAAATGCCTATTGCACAATTGACAATTACTTTGACAACTCTCATTGTGTATCACAGCTTTTTGTTGCTGCTTATTTTAAATTAGCTGTTGTCATAAAGGAAAAAAATCAAAATAGTGCTGCACCCTGTTGGTAAACCTTGTAACTTTTTAATGCTATTAAATATCATAGAACTAATTTGTTTAGTTGAAACAGCTGGCAAATTCTTTAATTCCTTTTAAATATGAACGAGCTTGTGGCCCGTCCTACGTATGGGAATCGAGTTGTCAACTAAAACAGAATAATTCAGAACATCTAGTTTACACGCATAGACACAAATTCTGGCAGTTTTAATGGGGAAGATCACCTTATAAACAAATGTAACGTGACCACCTATTTATTCCATTCAAATATAGACCTAAAATATGGCGATATGCATTTTAAATCCGATAATCATAAAACAGCATTTGTGTCGATTTGAAAAATCTTGAAGTGAGATTGGCGACCTATTCACACTGGTTTTGAGTAAAGTAGCTACATGCCACCTCCAATTGCAGACTGTACTACTCATGTACTTACCGTACCTTATCTTACCTCCGTGACCACTGAAACTTTTATGAGGATTCTCTTCTATCACCTGCCTCTTCAAAATATAGATCCCAGTCTGAGAATGCATTTCATAACTTAATATTTCCCGTCTATCGTGGGATACTCCTTGGAATATACTTTTTAAAAGTGTATACACAGCCTGTCCATCCAAGCTTTACCTACTTCTGGAAAGCATCCCTATATTTGGGTGTCAACACATTTCTCTTAGCTCTCTGTTCTATTTTATTTCGACCTCTGGGCCGTTATCTTGAACTGGTCTGTATGTTTTCTCTGCACTTTATTATCTAACCCAGCATTACGTTTTTTCTGTTCTTTGGTCAGTGCCCAAGTTTCTGAATAATCAGTACTACGGGGATAGTTGGTATGGTATGAGTCGACTTTGGTTTCTGCTGCACCCTGCAGTTTATTTGACAGTTTTATAGATACCTACTACACCGATTGACGCTTTCATTACTAACCAAAATTTTAGTATGCCGACATACTCACATTCAAACATACAGAAAAAGAAGTAGGTATCAACACGTAAACCACTATACCTTAAACAATTAAGCGATAAACTGCTGAAAAAATATTTCCCAAATATGAGTTGAAATTTGCAATGCATAAACTAAATACTTACAAAGATTGTATTTACGACAAAACTTGAGTAAACGCAAGTGTTTGAGATGTTTAGTTCAAAATAAATCATTTCCTGATAACGGAGATCCTTCACGGTAGGGGAAAACTACCTACATTTTAAAGTGAAATAGTATGTAGACAAACACTAACGAACAATATTTTTGTAAACAAACAACTCGTAACATAAACATTTCAATGACAGTTATAAACCAGCTGTTAGTTAAACCAGCATTGAAAATACTTTAAATTGCTAGCGTCGGCTGCTAGACTTTTTAAAAATTAAAACTTAATTTCTAAAAAACTGAAACCCAAAACTAAAATTATGGCTTCGACATTCCCTAGTTCTCAAAATTATATTTCTTTCAACACAAAAATCATGAAAATCCGTCAAGTGGTTGATTCAGAATCGTGAAATAAAAAAACCCTGTTTCGTTTTAATATTATAGATACTCGTAAGAATAACATGGAAACTTTGAACCCCTGTGGGGCATAGCCCTATAGGATTTTCACAACTTAAATATGCCTATGTGTTCCTCAAGACTATCAAGTACTTCTCTTCAAAATCTCAGCTCAATCGGTCCAGTAGTTTTCACGTGATGGAGATTCAGAGTTACACACAAACATCCATACTTTCACATTTATAATATTAGTAGGGTAGGATTATATTTATAGTTAAAGCTGGGGAGAGGGCAGGTCAATCGCTCTTATCACTGGACACTGCCATTTCAGGAAACATCTCCACACTCTAGGAATTGTCAATGACAAGCAGGAGTGTCGACTTTGCAACCAGTCCGATGAGACTGCAAAACACATTATTCTGGACTGCGACGGATTAGGGGCTAGGAGAAGGGCTCTGTTTGGTCTAAAGCAGCCAGGTGATGAACCAGACGCTAACATTGGGCAAAAGCTCCTGCACCTAGTCAAGGGCACAGGCATAGGCTTACCCAGTTAGTGGCAAGTGGGATGCACAATAAGCTTCGGTTGACGTGCTTGGACCACGAGTCTTCCCCTCTCACAATCATTCACATTTATAATATTAGTAGGGTAGGATTATATTTATAGTTACCAGGTAAATACAATTTCATCTGTAAAATCAGTTGTTATGAAATTTTAAACTATTAACTGAAACCCTATAAAAAGTAGCGAATCCCTATTCATTTTTCTAACTTTAAATTTACAGAAACCCCCCGATAATGAAGGAACACAACAAAGGTAACAAGGTCTTGTTTAATTTAATTACTCTTTTTTACGAATTTAGAGTTGTGGTTAGGCTTGATTTCATAGTAATGTAGAATTAGGGCATACGGACACTGACAAAACCAACATTGCTTTTCTGGCCGTAGGACAATATAAAAAAAAAAATTGTAATGGACTGATGCTAGATTAGGAAATATGTTAGGAAATGTTTTAAGCCTGTATAGTTTAATGATCAGCTCATATTTTCAATAAAATTTAGCAGTACAAATTCTACATGTCTGTTTTATCCTCTATTATTACAATTGATTTTAAACCAAATTTCCTTTTGAGGTCGTAATAAGTTAGTGTATAAGGTCCATCCCAACTGTAAATGCATTGTCTGTCATGGTATTGATGTTATGAATATACAGGTGGTACATGCCTATGTCTTGGTCTCAAGTAAAGCTGGTGCTAGCTGTGCTGTTGTTTCTACACCTGGGGCTAGACACTGCCATAGCTGCATTACCATCAGTGCTGTACTATGGCTCACTCACAGTCATGGTAGTGGCTACTTGTCAGGTGCTTACCAAAAGACACGATATGCATCATTTTAGAAGGTAAGCATTTTATTTACACACTGTCTAATACCTTGTGTATCTTATGCCCGTAATATACTCCCGAACGTGAGTTTAGTCGCTCGTTAATTATTGTTAGTGAGTAAATTCTCGGACAACTAGAAAGTAAATGTTAACTGCAACGAAATACTCGGTTACAGCAACTTTTACAAAGTATTACTGTATTTGAAAAGGGGAAATTATATATTTTTGCGGTAATTGAGGTTCGATAGTTTATGACCCTGAAACACGGGAGTTGCCGGGATGACGATACATGCGGAACTGAACAAGTGGCGTCTTTCCCACTCCACTAACATTAAAATTGACCAATGAGAGGCAGGGATAAGAATAAGTCAGGAAAGAGTTTGCACTGTGTTCTGGTTCAGATACCAAAACCTGTTGAATTATGTTTTGTGATATTGTCCACCTTGTAAACAGCTTTAAATAAAATTCATAATTTTCAGTTGTATTACTTGATTTTTTTGGTTGTCTTTTTCCAGCATTGTTTGTTTTACATATACGAGTTGTCTAACTTAATATTTACAATCTTTTAACAATTACCGTGGGACCGAGCCTTGCACGGTTGTGGTTAAGGTTTAATTGTTGAAACAATATCGTAAACAGGCATTTTATAAGTTACAAACAACATTTTTATTACAAACCATAGACATTTGATCGCTGAAATAGTAACAACTAACCTGTAATATTGATGTAAAAGTATGCAATTAATTAAACAAAAATAAGATTCACTTTTATGATCTTACTTAACTTTAAATGCTACTTGCACAGAATTTTTCTCCCCTCCAGTCATCAAAACCTTTTGTTCGACTTTAACACTCACCAATGACTGCAGATAAAAATACCCCCGCCGCAGCAAACCTGCAGACTAAGCAAATTTCTATTTACCTGGCTGGATTTAAAAAAAAAATTCCCTGAAAATGATTTACACATTTGTACCAAATTTAATTGAAATTGGAAGATTTTTAATCAAGTCATTGTACTAAAGGACACGCATGTGTATATATATATATTTATTTGCACATAAATAGGTACATATTATACCAGTTTTGTAGGCCTATTTTTAAATTTTCTGTTGAATTCAATGATTAATTAACCAAACAGCTGTTAAATTTCTTTTAGACCATTTCCAGCTGTTTTAGCGAATTTCCCCTATAGGGAATAAGCTATTACTGTAGTACTCATGGTAAGACCTGGACTCGGGACCGATTTACTTTTTAGTTTTGAGGTCTCTAAGGACCAAAAACACCATCCGTTCAAATTCATATATATATATATATATATATATATATATATATATATACTAGCTGTACCCGCGGGCTTTGCCCCGTTTTACTTCATAAGTGAGCTCGTTCGCATGGCTCAATCACGTCCTGGTTAAAGTTCGTTCGCTACGCTCACTCACCTTAAGGTTGGAGCTCGTTCGCTGCGCTCACTTACCTTCAAGTTAGCTCGTTCACTACGCTAACTTGCCTCCAGGTTGAAGTTCGTTCGCTACGCTCACTCACCTTATGGTTGCAAATTAGCTGTTGTCATAAATAAAAAAAAAATAATAGTGCTGCTACCTGTTGGTAATCCTTGTAACTTTAACACGTTCGCTGCTGAGCGCTAGATGCCGGGACGGCGCCAGTTGCTGAACTAACGCTCGGCCGCTGCGTGACATTGCCACCGATACACTGAATTACAGTAAAAACAACAGTAGTTATACTGGATGGCAATGTTCTGCAATAATACTGGCATTTGATATAGTACTAAGTGATTCTGATGGATAGCAGCACTACCCAGGTTACAGTCGGTAAAGTAGTGTCGCTATCTAGCAGGAAAGAGGTAAAACAAAGCCCTGTTCCAAACAACCCTGGTGGTGATTTGGGAAACTATATTTTTTATTGTCAGAAAAGTACGTCCCCACGAGCTGCAAAGAAATATAGAACGCTTGTGACGTGCTGGCTTATCCATAGCAACGTTAAACAACAATGAACGGTGACGTTCTGGAACGTTCTTAGCTCCTGGCGCCGTGGCCCGGCTGACGTTCCGGAACGTCCGTAGCAGCGAACGTGTTAATGCTATTGCACATCATAGAACAGAACCAACTTGTTTAATTGAAACAGCTGTTAAGATTCATTAATTCCATTTAAATATGAGTACTCATAAGGTTAACATGGGAAACTCCAGAGCCACTGGGGCGGAGCCCGAGAGTCCGATCAGAATAAAAACAACTTAGTTTTCCTATTTAATGCCTAAAGAATCAGTGTACCAAAATTCAGCCTCCTAGGTAAATGGGAAGTGGGAGAATTAGTGATGAGTGAGTGAGTGAGTGAGTCAGTGAGGGCTTTGCCTTTTATATATAGACTAGCTGGACCCGCGGGCTTTGCCCCGTTTTACTTCATAAGTGAGCTCGTTCGCATGGCTCAATCACGTCCTGGTTAAAGTTCGTTCGCTACGCTCACTCACCTTAAGGTTGGAGCTCGTTCGCTGCGCTCACTTGCCTTCAAGTTAGCTCGTTCGCTACGCTAACTCGCCTCCAGGTTGAAGTTCGTTCGCTACGCTCACTCACCTTTTGGTTGCAAATTAGCTGTTGTCATAAATTAAAAAATAATAGTGCTGCACCCTGTTGGTAATCCTTGTAACTTTAATGCTATTGAACATCATAGAACAGAACCAACTTGTTTAATTGAAACAGCTGTTAAGATTCATTAATTCCATTTAAATATGAGTACTCATAAGGTTAACATGGGAAACTCCAGAGCCACTGGGGCGGAGCCCGAGAGTCCGATCAGAATAAAAACAACTTAGTTTTCCTATTTAATGCCTAAAGAATCAGTGTACCAAATTTCAGCCTCCTAGGTAAATGGGAAGTGGGAGAATTAGTGATGAGTGAGTGAGTGAGTGAGTGAGTCAGTCACTTACCTTTCCTTTTGCCAGACTTCCTTTTGTAGTGACTTCCTTTTGCCTTTTATATATATAGATATATATGTGTCCGTTAGCGCGATAACTCGAGCAAAAATCATCCGATAATGATGAAATTTAGTACAAACATTTAAACCTACGTTTATTCGAACGAGTTCGCGAACCAGCACAATTGGACTATGGGAACAGGGGTTTATGGGGGGTTTTATGGTGCAAAAATATTAATTTTGTTTCAAATTGAAATGTATGCATTTTAAGCTTATTTAAGTAGAAGGAACAATCTTGAGTATTATTATTTCTGCTTTCAATGGGCCTAGGTCCCATACCCACTAAAATGCTCAAATTACACTGTCAATACCAAACAACCATTCACAACCAAAAGTGTGGATACAAATATTGAGTTAACTTATTAACAACTTTTTTTGTTTGCATCAACGAGCTGCAAAGAAGCTGAATATTTCATTCCAATCCATTCAGTTTTATCAGTGAAATGGTGTTGAAGAAACTAATTTGCTTTTGTATAATACTCTTGGCACGCCTTGTTATATTCCTTTGTTTTTTCTGATTCCTCGCCATACTTTGTGCAGATGGTCGAGCCTGTTCCTGGCCTACTCTGAAGGTAACGTCAATGCTGGGCAGGCAGAGTATCAGTACTGTCGCAACAACCTGCGTCCCTACATCTGGTTTTTCCTTGGACTTTTGGCTCACTTGTTACTTTACCCAATGTTGAGGCAGACCATCCCTCAGTCTGAACTGTCTGTCCTGGCCTTTATCTTCACCTGCCTCACTCTCTACAATTTTACAGTGAGTCAAGTTTGTAATTTGATTACCAGTGTTGGGAAGTAGCGATGCTACAATTTTAAGTAGTTGTAGCTTAATTTTAGCTACTTTTTTCGCTACATTTACATTGGTTGAGATAGTAATTTTATCATAACGTTACGTAAAAAAACCTCTTTCAAACTGACATTTTCAAGAAAAGTAGGACTTCTATAAATACCTAGGTATTTATTTACTTACTATAGTCGCAAACTGGACTTCTGTACCGGCCTAGCAAATCACTGTATTTATATAAGATAGGCTACTTTTATCAATATTTGAAAAAAATGAATACCTGCTTCAGAAATGCAGTTTCTGTTGCCGTTTATAAAGCAATATTTGCTACAAAACTAATTGAAATAAGAACCATCAAAAGATATAATCTGCTTGTAAGGCATACATTAATTAGTACAGTTAATGGGAACAGTGTACTGTATTATCAAAGATTACATATGCTACGCAAAATAGATATTGCAGCCAAGCCATTTTTGTGATATCAATTTCCATGCGAAGCCTAGCGAATGTCTTCACAACCTAAGACTTCATTGCCGACATGACCAGCTGTTATTTACGTATTTTTTGTTGTTGTTTATTGTTATGGTTTATGGTTAACCTATATTTGTGGTTGTTTGCTAATGTAAGTAACAGGAGGTTTATTAGGAGATGGGTTAGCAAGAGTGAAGAAGAGTTAGCATTATGTTTAGTGAATTACAATTGTATTATGATGTGGATATTTTCATGAACAATACCAGGTATTAAGACGAGTGTATGTGATAAATGGCAAGCACGGCAATCAAAAAACAAAAAGGCCTTCCCGACACTGCTTTACATTCACGTTTAGTGTGTGAACTGCATTTTGAACCTAACTGCTTTATAAATAACTAGCTGAACCCGGCAGACGTTGTCTTGCCTTTGACTATTTATAATCCCGCGGGCTTTTCCCCGTTTAACTTCTTAATTTTCAAGATGATCTCGTTCGCATGGCTCAATCACGTCCTGGTTGAAGTTCGTTCGCTACGCTCACTCACCTTTAGGTTGGAGCTCGTTCGCTACGCTCACTCACCTTTAGGTTGGAGCTCGTTCGCTGCGCTCACTTGCCTTCAGGTTAGCTCGTTCGCTACGCTAACTCGCCTCCAGGTTGAAGTTCGTTCGCTACGCTCACTCACCTTTTGGTTGCAAATTAGCTGTTGTCATAAATGTAAAAGAAATAATAGTGCTGCACCCTGTTGGTAATCCTTGTAACTTTAATGCTATTGAACATCATAGAACAGAACCAACTTGTTTAATTGAAACAGCTGTTAAGATTCACTAATTCCATTTCTCATAAGGTTAACATGGGAAACTCCAGAGCCACTGGGGCGGAGCCGATTGGACGGATCACGAAATTGATGGTGTATAAACCTATTCCATGACATTCTACACGTATGTACCAAGTTTCGTGGCAATCGGTTCAGCGGTGTCTGAGTTTATCACTGCCAAACAAACAAATATATATACAAACATCCTCTTTTATACTTATAGATATGAGAAGTAAAAAGGAAGATGTACCAACATGACTAGATACTAGAACCAGAGTGTTTATGTACTAACAAACTATGGATGTACACCAGTTGTCACTCAGCAGTCTGCACTCAATACTGCCTCTACAGACGATCACCACCGTCTCACGGCAGCCCCTTCATCACATAGCGATAAATTCACCAGTATTTCTACTGTCAACGTCTCATTATCTGCCTAAAAACAGTTATGATAGAGTTCCGAAATATATTATTAACTACCTTCATCATACTATTATGCAATAATTTGTAATTTATTGTCAATTGAAAATAGTACGGTGAACGTTGTGGTTTAAGTGTTTATCAACGACCACTAAGAGGGAAATAAAGTATCCTGGGCTAGTATTTATGGGGTTCAATTTTGGAGAGGGGTGGTTAGCCAATTTCTACTCCAGGGCGCTCCAATCCAAACCTGGCTACGCCAATACAAAGCCTGTTGATTCAGGAACTTACCATAGCTATACTGGGAAGGCGAACGAAATGCCTGTTGTAAAATGTAGTTACAGGCTTCCGGTACAAAGTATTCGACCTATTGCTTAATATAATGTTTAAAACAGGCCATACCAGTAAATTGGGATGTCGGGTCACTCGGGTTAGTTCACTTTCGTGTGATTGCGAGAGTGTGACTGACCTCCAATTTCCAACCTAAATATCGTTTATACGTGGATAACCTCTTTCATTTATGTACAACTAAGGTTCCGCTGTTTCTAAAACTATGTGTTCTTAAATTTATTTTATATAGTCGTCAGTTGAAAGATTTGTTACATAAAACAATCCAAATCAAAAATCTATATTTTATATCTTATGCTCTACATTTTCTTCAAAGCTCAGTTGCAAACTGCACTTACGAAACACCAATAATGTGACGAGATAATAAGTAGTTTGAAAACAAATGCCGATATGTGTAGATGATGTTCTTCCTACAAACTATGTGTATATTGCTATGTTTAAAAAGGTCAAGTAGCCAGTGAATTGTTAGGTAGTAGTTGACTAACCATACATTCCTCATCGTGAGTTAAGTGGCAAGATATTGCGCGAGTCTAGAAATCCGGAAGCAAACTTTGTGGATAAAAATTCCGAAAACAGAAAAGTCGACGAACTCACAAAAAATAGTCACTAATTATTAAAACTTGTAGGATTTATAAATTTCTAAATCGTTAAGGGTTCTCGAAATTTAAGTTAAAATTCAATGCAGAAAAACTAGTATAACCTTTGACTTTTAACATTGTAAGCTTATTATATCACTGTGTCTGCAATTTTTGAAGATTTTTATTAATTCATGTTTATATCAGTAAACCTTTAGTATCCTTTAGCTCTTCGTTACGTGGTTACTTTAATTTTAAATTAAATAACTGCCATTTTTGTTATGGTACATTAAAGACAGTTGTGCGCTTTCAAACTAGAGATACGATGACGACGACGAAGGGTCGGCGAGCGCGTTGCGTACAGGCAAATTAATCCCAAGCACGCGAACATTACCGAACTCAACCGAACTTGAATGGTAATGCAGATCGAGACTTGACACAGCGCCTCTGTTGAGGGACCACCCAACTACGTGAAGGTGGCCCCGCCAACAACGACTTGGCACAAAATTGCCGTAAGGTGCATTATCTATTTTGCGTAGCATATGTAATCTTTGGTATTATTAATCAATGCTTAATGGTATTCATCGGACTGCCTTTTTCTTTTGTACTGTCTTTTGTTATTTGCTAGTTTACTGTAGATAGATGGTTTGTCATAACCAAGTGTTATTACTCAACGTTGTATACCCACGGGCTCCTCCGCATGGGTATGCGCAGAAAGCTCTTGGAACTATTTCCGACGTAACTGTTATAAATTCCTTGAATGAAGTTGTGGTTACAGCTTCAGCTGTTGCAATTTGGAGTATGTGATGGGATAAAAACAACTTAAATATCGTAAGTATTACGCCTAGCTATTACTATAGCTTTCATAACAACACGTCATGACTTTTCAAGCTGCTCAAAAGTAAAGAATTTTGCAATGCAAAGTTTGCAGCTTCAACTTTTAAATTGAAACTATTATCTAACCTGGTCCAAGAAAGAAATGCAGTGAAGCTATTTACACTAGCAGTTACCCCAGGAACTGTACCTAGGCCATCTGCGCATGTGCAAGCTGAGATGCCCGTGGTTACACAATGTCGAGTCGCCTAAAGCTACGATTCTTTGTTTACATCTATGTTGTTATCTCGTAACCATCATAGCAACCCATAAAGCAAATGTTAAATATTAGCAATTTTATGTTGGTCTTAAAGTGTACAGATATTATCAAATTGAAATTTGAATGTTTAGTAACATGTACAACGTTTGTCGAAATAACCCTGGAAAATATGGATTTGGTATGTTCAGCCGTTTTTGAGTTAATTGATTACATAGTTTGCATAAGGACCGATCTCTAAGAGCTTCACTCGCTCCACTCAATTAATTAAATAAACAGCTGTTAAATTTCTTTTGAACCATTTCCAGGTGTTTCATTCCCTTTTCCATTTTCATTTCAGAAAGGGTCGATTGTATTTCAGAATAGTCATTTGTATTTCAGAAATGAATGCCAATTTGTATTTCAGATGTAAGATTTTATTTTTAGAAAGTGTTAATTGTATTTCAGAATAGTAATTTTAATTTCAGATAATAATACTGTACTTTTATTTCAGAAATGATCACATATGTTCCATAAATAATTATTTGTATTACAGAAGATATCAATTGTATTTCATAAATAATTTGTGTAAACAACTTTGTTATCAGCATTAGGAATTAGATTTTGGAATGATAGAGTTATAACAGCAGCTGTTTTTATTAATTTCTGAAATACATTTGACTAAGTGTATATGTGACAGTTTCTGAAATACATACACGGCCGCCTTTAACTCCATGCCGCGGCCTGGTAGAATAGGCAACATTGAAAGTAGGGTCGTTTAGTGTCAGACTTCTCATAAGATAACATGGCAGACAGCTGACATCAGCTCATTAATTCACACTTTATTGATTCAAATTTAAATTTATGAACGTAAATTTATTGAAATATTGAAAATAAATTTATTAAAATATTGAAAATAAAACACACAGCATTGAAAACCAAAACAACATATGAATTGAAAATCTATAACTGTGCATTTAAAGCGTAGTCAACATTTTCTTAGTCCAGTAACCAAGCTTTCATAAATACACAAATACCATTAGCTGTTTCCAAACAAAACAGTTGTTACAACCCTACTTGCGACGTTGCCACTTGGAAGGCTGCGACCTGGAGTTAAAGGCGCCGTGAATATACAGGGTGAGTTTCTACTGAGTGTGTTAACTTCGCCAGTAGGTTCTACTCACTAAAAGGAACAAAAAGTTCCTATAAACCCATGTCCGATTGTTTACCGTTTGGCAGCAATAGGGAGTTTTGTGTTTTTCTTTTTTTATTAGACTT